TGGGACGGGAATGGGCAAACTAGGGCCCGGGGTCGGGATGCGGCCCGTTCAGCTTTTTAATCCGGCCCGCCGAACCTTTCCAAATATAATTTATTTAATATATGTATATCTTTATACTTCTGCCTTTTCTGCCTTAATACTATTTAAGAAAACATTTTATATTATTGTTATAAAAATGGGTAAAACAATCCAGCGAGGGACAAAGAGAGACATGGTGTCCAGTGGAAAAATGGAGCAGGGTTGAACACTCGTAACTCCATGTTTCTTTGTATCAAGAGCAAAGTCTTGCAGTAGTTTCAGACTGGCGTCTCGGCGGTCCACTGTATTATAAATTGTCTTATTTTTTTTTTTTTCTCTCCCAGGTCACTGTCCACACGGTGTGTTCACGAACATCTCTGGCCCCAGGGTCACCACCGCAGGAGAGTATCCTGGGAGTTACAAGTACGGAGCGTGGGGTCAGGATCCTAAACCCGAAGTGGGGAAGGAGAGCTGGTACTGGCTGGTCATGTTGACCTCCAGCAACGCGTTTGGTCACTATGTCCGTCTCTACAGCAGCCTGAGCTCGCTTATTGTTGGAGTCAGTACCCCAGGTAAATGATCTTCTAGAACGCTATCCATCCATCTTCATCCACTTATCTGTTATCAGGTCGCGGGGGCAGCAGTCTCCACGACCGCCGCCTACCAACCCCCCCCCCTGAACCTTCCTGTGGTTGGTGAGTCCACTGGAAGGTACCAACCGCCCTTACCGGGATTCGATCTTGCCCAGGACGTGAACCCTGGGGTTCCAAACCAATGACAGAGACGTTGCCTCTGGGCCAAAGCTCCACATCTTCTAGAATGTTAAAATGAAAAGATAAATGATTCAAATTACTGTTTATTTTCTCTCAAACGCTGCTTCTCGTTTCCTCTCTCTAAAGGTAACGTAATGATTCACACCACCAATCCAACCACCAACACCATCCAGGGTCCAAATGTTGTTCTGTACAACGGAGCCTTGTACTACAACTGTTATAACAAAGGAGCCGTTTGTCGATTCAACATGACCAGTAAAACTATCAGCATCCTTCAACTGCCCCAGGGCACCAGGTACCAGGAGTTCATTTCATTTGTTTTTCCTAATAACAGAACATTTGAAATGAGAACATGTACAACCAGTAAACTGGAATAAAAAATAACTGCAGTAAATTAGCAGTATTGAAAAGATGATGTACTCACGGCCCTCAGGTAATAACATTTTAACGGCAATATTTACAAATGTTTAAATGTGTTCTTTGTTCATTCATTGATAGGTTTTTAACCTTTAACCAAAGTTTCCTGTTATTTTACATTTTATTTTGTTTATTTCTAATGTAAATGAATACAATCGAATGTAATCACAACACGATAACAAACAGTTTCCCTGTCGTGTTTGTAGAGTAGACTGATCCATGTATTTCATTTTCACCAATTGATCAATCAATCAATGTTCACGCCTGATGAGACACGATGCCAGAACCTGAACAACAACATGACCTTTGACCCCTGCTCTTTCAGATTCAACTCTAAGGCCAACTTCTGCTACCTTGATGAATGTTACCCTTACACTGACTTGGACCTGGCAACCGACGAGTCTGGGGTCTGGGTCGTCTACACCACCACACAGGACCTGGGCAACCTGGTGCTCGCAAAACTGGACGAGGGGGAAGAGCCGACAATTAGACAGACGTGGCACACTTCGCTCTACAAGCTGGGGGTGACCAACACCTTCATGACCTGCGGGGTGCTCTACGCCACACGGTTCGTTGATAAAGACAGGGAAGAGATCTTCTATTCCTTCGACACAGCCACGGGGATAGAGGAGTTCAACCTGGGGATCTTCCTCAAAAAGATGGCCCCCAACTTGAATTCACTCAATTACAGCCCAGTGGACCAGATGTTGCACGCCTACTGCAACTCCCAAATGGTCTCCTACAAGGTGTTGTTTGAGTAAACGAACAGAAGACTTCTGGCCTTTAGGTTGTAAAAGAAAAAAAAAGTTTTCTTTCTGATCTCCAGAATCCTCAGTTACACAAAGTGTCCACCAGGGTAGAAAGAGACAAACAAATTCGTCCTAATTAAAGAGATTTTCTTTTTTTTAATTTTCCTTTTTAAAACAGCAGACATTTTAAACTGATGGAACAGATGTCCATGTAAAATTTTCACTAGAATTTGAAGACCTCATTCATGTACTAGGTACTACAACTACAAAGTTTTTTTTGCAACCAGTACTTCAACCTACTAAAGTTAACATTTGCAACTTAAGGAACATTTATTTTTCTTTTACAGTCCAGGCTTTTCTGTAATCCGGATTAAACTGTTCAGACAAAAGTCTTACAGATTACACTGTAAAACATTTGTTTTTATATGACTGAACTGATTTTTAATTACAAACATCAGGTCAAAGGAATGAAAATACTCTCATACTTGCTGTACTTGCATTTTCTTCTGAATAAACTTCTGCAGAATTGAGAAGTTTCTTTTTTCGATTTCAGGAACTTGCAAAGTCAAAGCAGCACACACACACACACACACACACACAAACACACACACACACAAACACACACACACAATCAGTACTTTCCATTTTTATTGAGACGATGACATTTAATGTGTCACACGCAACAAGACCAAAAAAAATATTTCAAAAATAACACTTATGTACAACAGAGAAAATGTTTTCTTCTTTGGTAATAAAAAGTTTTGATTACAGTGGCCGAAAAAAACAAACATGAAATACAAAGAATACGAAGCTGTGGATTAAAGTCCAACAACAGTGAATATGAAAAGACCAGGTTGACTCGTAGCACAGACAGTACTGCACCACAGGTAGTCAGTATTCAGTAAGTACACGAGGAAGACAAAAATATACCATCTGTTAACGTCTCCCTGTGTATGTGTGTACTGGATGTTGGTATAGCTATACTTATGGGGACACGTTTTAGGAAGATACCATCGTTGTTGGGACACTGTCTTTACGGGGACTTTTTCCAGGTCCACCTTTTTTTAGAGTTAGGGTTAGAATCCCAGTTAGAGTGGTCAGATGATGACACTCAACATCATTATAGACTAATTGTAGACATGCAGCTAATAGAAGCTACTGAGAGTAAATAAAGGTCCAAGCATTTTTACTTCTGCTTTTCTTTTGTGTTTTTATATAAATCTGACTCCTTGTAATGTCAGTCGTGCTACAGTAAGATATAATAAAAACATTTTAATTCATATCAGTTGAAGGTAAAACCTCCTCTAAGCCTTTACAAATCTGACTACACCTGGAGAGACCGCTGTCATTTTTGACCGTTTTAAGCACGTGTACATTTGGCAGCTGTCCACTCACGCTGCACCGCATTTGGCCCAACGTTTACTTCCCTTACACGCTGTCGATCCACCGTCCTCCAAAGGTGCTGGAATGTTTAGAACAAGAACTAAATCACAGAGTTCACTTTGGCCTGAGAGAGCGAGGCCACTGCAAGTTTTGAACCTGCAAACTCAGACTGAGCCGGACGGCCGTGAAGAGCATCAGACGCTCTTGGTGCTGTTGGTGTGTCCGGAGCGCGGGTGAGCCTTAGTGCAGTTATTGTTGTTGCTCCTGCTGCAGTTCTCCTTGGCTCCAGCCGAGACTCTTCTCTCCAGAAAACGGATCTTGCCTTGCTCCTCTTTCATGAAGAGGTCCACCAGCAGGATCTTCTCCTTGTGGATCTGGAGGCTGATGTCCTTGGGGATGTCCGGTATTAGCCAGTCAACCACATCGTTCATCAGCAGCACTACATTCTAGTAGTGATTAAAAACAAAACTAATTATTTTGATTTGTATTATTTTGTTTGTTTGTATGTTTCTTTAATTAATTGACCCCTTCACCAGAGGTCACCGTAGTCTGCTCAGTCATTTGGCACACTCTCCTGGACCAAGAATCCTTTGCATGACAGGCCAGAATCCTAGCACCCGCTTCACTGAATCTAAGCTGTACCTGTAGCATTAGTTATCTCGGTCCAGGTCACATTTACCTAATCAATATACCTGATCAACAGTGATACTTAATCTCTATAAGACCACATCAACCACCCATGACAGACACAAAGTCTATAATAAGGATAAATAAATCGTATACTGTATGACGTTGTACTTCACCTGGAAAACAATAACAAAAGCCAGTCGCACAGCCAACACCGTCCAGAACTCCTTGGAGATTTCATATGGAGTTGGAGACCAGGGAGGGTCTCTGTAGTCCTTATACCTTTACAGACAAAATCATGTTTTACAATCATTTTCAGTAAAGGCATTTTTATATATATATTTAGACACCAGTCACTATTACATAGAAACAACAATAAATGGATTTTAAAGAAGAGATAATAATAAATGACAACTGTCTTGTCACCTGCAAATCTCAACAGGGTAACCCAAATGAACAGGATCCATGGGTTCTTTTCCATCCTGGAAGTGGGTGACGTTAAAGTAGGAGAGTGTGTGATTCACAAACCCGTGCATGGAACCGTCGGGGCTGTACATGTACTGGTAGACCATCCGGGGAATGAAGTCTGAGGTGAAGGAAATGACAAAGGCCTGGGGATACATTTGTGGGACAAAGTGGGACAAAGACAGAGGTTCAGGTTCTTCGGGGACATCAATGAGAAATGAACACCAACAGCAGCAGGATTTTAATTATAGTGTTACATCAGAGGAGGAAAACACTATTAAAACAAACCATTATTAACTTCATAGTCTTTACTGCAGGATTTGTTTTTATTACACACTATAATGTTTTCCAATTAAACCCGCTGTCGATGACTATCATATTTTCGACAGATTAAAACTTTGATTCATCACTTACATTTATGATGACAGCCACCTTTGCCACGGCTCTTAATATGTCGTACCAAATACCTGCAGATTTAACAAATGCATAATTATTGTGACGTATTATGTTTTCTCAGACTCAATAAGCTGTAATAAATAAAATAGATATTTTAGATTTTAGGTTCTTCATTATAAATGTATGTGCAATATATTCACCAATATCTTTGGCTCTAGCTGCCACTGGCCTTCGCAACTCAGTCACAAACTTCTTGGCATCCAGTCGTATTTCAATGATGTTGTTGAGCAGAGCAAAGAGCGGAGCCAGAGGGAAGGAGGCCACAAACAGAGTAACGAAACCAAACTGGATGACTGGACGCACAGAGGGACACAAATGTCCAGATTTAAGTCTCAGTCTTGACTGGTCGACGTGTTAAATAAACAGTTATACGTGACGTGAACCAGCGTAAAACACGAACACTTTATAAACAATGAGCATTATGGCAGGAACAACAACAGGTATTTTTATCTCAAGGTATAACCTTTATTTTTTTTAGCTTTTTTAACTTTACATAGAAATAGAAAGTTATTTATTTAGAAAGTTAATACTTTATAGAAAATAAACATTTGAAATATGCTATATTAATTATTTAAATATGGACTAAATGTGGCGACTCCTCAACGGGGTAGAAGGGAAGCCGAATTTAAAAATTTAAAAACACTAGAATAAATCCCGTTATTTGACAGAGACAGTACTCACTCATCTCCATGTACTCTGGCGTTAACCCGGCAAACGGCTCCAGGAAGTGGTCGGTTTCGTATCTCAGCAGTTTCTTCTTTCTTTCTTCTTCTTGGTATCCACCTTGCTTTGACCGAATGTAGCGAATTAACTTCTTCAGCTTTCTGACGGAACACACACGCACAGCACAGACGTGTGTAGATGTTTGTTTTTTTTGTTTTGTTGACGTGTTCTACACTCGTCCACAGGTTTGCAGCCAACTGTGCAGTTCCTGGACGACTCGATGTGTGAGTAATAAAGACTTACGGAACTCCGATTTCAAACAGGTTGTTCTGGATGAGCTGCTTCCCCAACATGGTGATACTCAGCTGTATACACAGCTCCATCAAACAGCCTCCGTGAGCGCACTGGAACACAGCGCACGTCTCATGTTAGAACCTTCTCACAGCTTCATCAACATAGATGGTGTTTGAAATTTTAGAGACAAGCTCTTAAAAACAAAGAAGGTGAAGTGAAAGTCAAGAAACAACCATTTTAAAGTCAATCCCAATAACAACAACAAAAACTTTCTCTGGAACTTCTTTACTTCATTATTAATATTGACTCAGTAATATGAATATACAGAAATTATTACCAGAATGTACACATACATACCTCTTCCATTCTGTAGGACTCAAACACATACAGGTAGTTTCCTGGTCTGCCCACCAGTCTTTAAAGAAGAAAAAAAAAACTTGAATTAAACTGAATATAACAGAATAATTAATTAAATTAAAAGCTAGTGTAATGGCAGAAATCAATCCAAAAGATGAAAATGTAACGGACCTTCCTCTGAAGAAAGCGATGTAGATGATTGGGGTAAAAGCATTAAAAAACTTGAGAATAAAGGTCTTGAAGATGAGTCGTTCTTCAAAACTCTTATCAGTTTTAGGAACCTCTGGAATTAAAAAGATTTTTAATATTTTTACTTCTCACTTCTCACATATGCTTGTTAAAATCCTCTAGAATCCCATGTACCAAATACAAACCTGGTAAATGAAGCCAGAAAATATATCATTATAGTATGAACTTTAACTCTCTGTAAGGAAAATATATCATTATAGTATGAACTTTCTCACTAACATACAGCAGGTTAGGGTGATAAAGGACAGAGACAGAGTTTCCATTTACCTAAGACAGTGAGCCACCGGGCAACAGCACCGTACACTTCGTCCAGGATGAGGATGACCACCAGGTTGATGATGGCTGCTGTGGTTTTAACGGTCAGCTGGGCGTTGCTCCTTGTAACTGGATTGGAGCTCATGTAGAGAGCTGCCTTGGTGGAGATCCTGTAGAGGATCACGCCGAACACGATGGCAAATGTGACGCCAATCTGAAAAATAAATGAACTGTGAGTGGAACTCAGAGGCAACATAACCCTTCAGTAGCAAGGTGTCACACCAGGAGAAACTTTCTTTTTGGTTTTACCATTAACAGCATCATGACAAGGGTCGTCATGTAGGCGGGAAGGCGGTCTTGAAGGGTGAGTTTTTCCACCTGTTGTATATATAAATGCGGTACAACTGTTATGGCAAACCATTATTATAATTGTACAACATTGACAAATCTGTAACATAACAGTGGTGCAGTGGAGGCCACACAGTGCCCGCCTCAACAGCCTACCTTTTGTTGTGATTTTTGATCCTTGCTCATTGATTTTTTCATCACCTTGAATTCATACTCAGCCCTGGGATGATCCTGTGGTGACACAGAAATACAATGGACAGTCATTTAGATTGTTGTTAACAGTCAACATACTGTATGACTGTGACAGAGTGGAGCTGTGTCCAATCTACTAGATATGTTAATATACAGTACCTTCCCCTGTTCATACTTACCATCCAAACCACTACCAGTCTATTATAGACATCATAACTGTTAGTGACAGCAATGGGTGAAGGCACGTGTGAATACAGTAATAGTGAGTGAAGAGAAACCTGAAGTGCACTTGTGTTGGTTATAAAACATTTCACTTGAGATATTTGGACGTGTCATCGGCGGACAGTGTCCAATGACAGGTCACTTGAAGCCAAATGAACCAATGGATTTTGAGACACTGCTGTTTGAGAATTCAGAAGTTGAATTTCTAAATTAATTGTATGTAGAATTTGGAGCCCTCTGGAGGTACAGTAACATGGCCAATATAATTGAACTGCTGTCAACTCCCTCTGTAGGTTTGACCAGAGAATAACTTCTCATTCATTCCTGCAGTGTTGTCACGTTGGTTCACTTGGACATTTTCATGGAACTTTCATTAAGTTTGAACCCAATTCCTGTGCTATTGTGCATAACAGCAGCAGTGGAGAGGAAAAGCAGCAGTGATTTCATTTGCAAAGTGAGACAGAAATAAAGCTAACAAGAGGATTTGCTCAAGTTGAAAAGGAAATGTCTCGGACAATGTCACGTAAAAACATCCCACATCAAAGCTGAGACTCTGTAACGTCGTGTGTTTTACTTAATTCCAAATAAAGGGAGTTGAATCTTGAATCTGGAGGGAAGGAAACATGGAAAACCTGCTGTTCTGGAAACCTTTGCTGTGGTGTGGTGCTACAGAAAAGGTTTTAGAGTGATGCGGATACTCATACTTGCACATTCTACTGTTTGCCAAAGGAAAAAAGGAAAAGGTTTATAGGTAGAAACAAATGTCTTCAAACCTTCAGAGCTTCCTGTGAAAAATAAACCAAGGACAAAAACAAGATGTTAGAAGGTAAAGACAGACATTAATGGTCAAAACAACGACAAATAATCACATTATATTAACAGGGCAGACTTGGTTAAGACACTGAGATGACATCAACAGCTTTTCAGGAATATTACAGATATTAACACAAAAAATGTCCAGTATTTTAAGGACGTTTCTTGTAGCTGCTGTGAAATAACTTTTCAACTTTTTTTTTCCAGCCTTTTCGTCGATGCTCACCTCCTCATCTTCAAAGCCCGTCAGGTCCCACTCGTAGTTCAGTCTCATCTGCCTCCTCTTCCAGTGCTCCATGAACATGGCAGCTGTGGAGCAAAGACAACGTGTGAAGGAAGATTGACGAGGACACTGCAGTGATGCGTTTGAGTGCTGCTTTTATGAAACAGAGGTTAAAACAGATAAACGGTTCAGTCATGTGACTGAATTTGACTGCTGCTTTTCACCTGTACAGAAATAAACTCTTGAAGATACACATTGGCATGATAAGAGCTGACGGGCCACATAAAATTGATGTAGTGGACCACATTCAGCCTGCGGGCCGCGAGTTTGACTGCTGTCATTATGTATGTCGTGACCAGTTTGACTCTTGACCTCAGCCTGAGTTAAGGCTTCAAATGAGTCACTAGTTAAAGAGTATGTGCTCTCTCTCTGTGTTTGTCTCGAGTTAAGGCTTCAAATGAGTCACTAGTCAAAGTGTATGTGCTCTCTCTCTCTCTCTTTTTGTCTATCTCTCTTACCCCACAGTGCCATGAATATAGAGAAGAAAACAGTGGCCGGGTTATCGAACAGGTGGCTGGCTCGAGCCGTTCCACAGGCTGTGCTGAGTTTCCAGTAGCTGCATACTCTGTCACACAGGGGGCACATGGTGATGTTGTTCTTGGGGTGGCAGATCTCCATGCTGGAAAACAACACACACACACACACACAGACACACACACACACTGAGCAGAAACTAAAAATATCCATACAACCACTTTACGGCCAAACCATGGCATAGGAATTCCATATATAGTGGAGAAATGACTGTGTGTGTGTGTGTACAGTGTATGAACAATGACGATAAAAGGTGGTTCAACTGATTCTTTTTTTTCTTTGTTAGAAAGACAAGAGCTACTGCATCTGTTAGTGTGTGATGACTGCACTTGGTTCACTCTCTCCCTCCGTCACTACGCTGAGTTGTAATGCAGACAGAGAAGGTGTCTGCTTTGTTTTACGGGGTATGCACTGAGGTTTTGTGCCTCGCTGACTTGCTGACGTTAACACTGGTGCTGAGCCTGAGTGCAAACATGTGCCGGCAGCATTTGTCATAATATCCTGTGGATGATGAGAAGCAGGTGGAGGAAGAAGTAGAAGTCCTGTAATTCATCAGTCATCTCAAACCTTTTTTTTTTCTTCCTCTCACTTTACATTAATGAGTATTCCTCCCAGGTTTTTCCCTCAAACATGCTTAGGTAGAGTGTGCTATAAGCCAGTGGTTTTCAAAGTTTGGGTCACCAGGGGGCGCTAGGGGAGGAACGATTTAACAAAAATGCAAAAAGAAAAAAAAAAAAGTATAAACTTATCTTTTATATTCATCGAATTCTCAAGTTTTCATTGGTACCTGATTGACCTCATGTGACAGCTGCAACTTTGGCCTGAACTCATAATCGGTTCTGGTTTGTGTCTGTTATCAAGCAGCTCAAGTAACAAACCAGTCCAGTATTTAGAGTCGGACTGGAAAAGCTTTTTATTCATTTATTATCTATAATCTATGATTGTTTTTTCAAATTTCTCTTTAACCCGTACATTTCTCACCTTGGTATGTTGTCGTCCACTGTCGCACAGCCATAGAGGAAGACGATGACTCCGACTAAAGAAGCAGGAATCAGCATCTGGGTGTAGAGACCAAGCCAGGCAAAGTACAGACCAATCTTCTCACCAAAGTACTTCCTACACACAAACACATCAAAGGTCAACTCAGATTCACTTTTTCAGTTTCTGTCTCTCTGAGCTTCGTCCTTTCTGCAGGTCTTTATTGTATAGTACACAGTGATCACAGTAATATTAAAAAAAAAAAGTTATTTGCTGTTGATGACAAATTGTATTAAAAAGTCTAAAATAAAGGGCTGTTTTAAAGGACTCCTGTTTCCACTGCTGGTAATAAATCACGGCCCTGTGAGTGTTCTTACCTCACCAGTCCAATAGGCTGGTATTTGTAGAAGACACCATAATTGGCCCACTCTTCATATAAAAGCTGAGGGAAACATTCACACAATGTTACATTATTATTCCATCTTTATTTACCGATGATACACAGAGTTGGTCAGTTTATAAACACAACAGTCAAATACAATGTTCTTTCTAGATGATAAAGGTGCAGATATTAAAGCACTTTTTTTATTTAAAATATACAAAAAAATTGTGTGACATTGTATGGAGTCAAAATTTTTTTTTAAAAAATGTAATAATAAATCTGTGACGTTAGGTTCATGTTATCAGAATCTTTGTTAATTTAAGTGTGAAAATCCTGACAATGAGACATCATTAATTTACATTTTCCAGGCAGTCTTATTTTCAAATTTGATTTCCACTGTTTTATTGGTTAAATAAAGAAGTTCAATGCACACTATTGATCATTCATTTACCTTTTTACCAACCTAACTATTTCCTGTTGTCACCAAACTGTGGTAAACAGAACAACATTAATGCATTTCACCTGGAATTACTTGGATTTTTGCAAGTTTAAAAAGAGAGGTAAAATCAAATCAAATCATATTTGATAAATTGTAGAAATAAAATGATTTGATAAATTGTAGAAATAAAAAAATCAATAATTATAATACTGTACTACCTTTCTGTCACCGAGGTCTGCACTCTCTTCATTAATTCTCCCCTGAAACAAAAAGATGACATCATTTTAGAGTCCTAGAAATATACAACATCTTTTAGGAACAACTATGTGACAGAGAATTATGTACATGATCAACAAAAACCAAGTCCAAACTCACATCATGAAGAGGATACGCAGCGGTGTAGACACCACTGCCCAGCAGACTGCTGATACCTGCTGAGAAATATACGAGGCAGGCTGTTCAAGTCAGTTTCCTACTGTTCCTTCATGTTCTGAGACCAGGACTTGTCGACTTTACTTAACGTGAGGTTGTTTACTATGACTTATTATCACCATGTGTTTAAGATCCTAACTCAACAGTCCTGTCAAGATTCAAGGGGGAAAAACAGGATCAGAGTTTGGAAAGAACAAACAACATCACTGCTCTGCTGTGACTCCTGCTCCTAATCTACACCTGCTCCCAGATTAACACACCCGCTCCCAGATTAACACATCTGCTCCCAGATTAACACATTACAACATCACTGCTCTGCTGTGACTCCTCCTGACTCCTGCTCCTGCTCCTAATCTACACCTGCTCCTAATCTACACCTGCTCCCTATCAGTTTGGATGCCATTAGGAGGAAGGAATCAGGAAGTTGAGTTTCACTTCTGTTGTCAGAAAGCTCTCAGAAGATAATTGTACCCTTGAATTCCTGACTTTATATTAACTCCACTGTGTGATTAATATATTTAACACCTGTATCTGTGAGACAAACTGAAATAACTTGATTTATGAAATAACAAAACGCTTTATTTACATATCCTCCATTTTTGCAAGCAGTGTTTCCATTGGAGTAATCCTTCTTTGAAGGGATGTCTTTGGCACCAAGTCACAACCTGCTGCTTCCCCACATCTAAGGACTGAAATCCTTTCAAATGTTCTTTCCGTTTTGGGAGAAGAAAGATAGATTGCGATCAAAACCTTTTGCTTCAATAATTTATCAACTTTCCATTCAAGTTTGACTGAAAATGTAATGCTTCCTAATCAGTTTTATGACTTGACCTCATGGCAAAGATGTTAATTGTGTTGTTGTTAAAAAGGCTTTTGATGTAAAATGTAAAAAGTAAATCTTCACACTCACCCATGCTGTACTTGGCCTTACATTTTGTTCTTTTCAATATTTCAAACACCTAAAAAAAATCAGACACAGTTTGAATAGCAGACACTGGTGTAAACTGCTGAAAATGAGCCACACAGACACTCACTATCGAGCTCCGAGTTTTGCTGTCGAAGAAGCTGTCTTTGTCAGAGAGGTCAAACCTAGAAAATCAAAACACACCTTTGTGTTGGTTGGAATAAGAAGGGAATGCTAAGTCAATGCTAACCTAGAATAATATTTGTTTAGGAGAACATGTGAAAGAACGTTCATTGTCATGAAGAGTAGATGATAATTGAACTAATTAATTAACAATTTAATGAAGAGTTTTTATTTTTGATTTCAGTTTTGTCACATACTGGAAGAGTCAGTAGAAAAAAACAATAGAGAATTACAAGAATGACCATTTCCATAAACTCACAAGTGCTGTTTGTCCCTGGAGAAAGTGTGTGACAGGTGTTTGATGTTCTTGGGTCGACTCTCCTCAACATGAGGATGCAGGGGCTCCAGAGCTTTACTGACCAAAGAGTTGATCTTCTCCATGACACCGCTGCAGTCTTTGACTTCGTACACCTTAAAAAAAAGAAAATCCAATAAAAGCTGTAATCAGGTTTAAACGGTTGGTCATCATCAAAAACAGCAGGTTGTGTTTTTCTGCCCTTTGATCTGACATTAATTCTCTACACTTTAGTCAAAGTTCCAAATGATTAGCTGGAATGCAGCCCTAAATCATGACAGTGCCTGGAGTCCAACTGGTCCAACTACTGTATATTACTGAATATTTAAACCAGGGGAGTCACACTCACCACTGGGCCACATCAGCACTTCCTCTTGAAGGGCTGGATGTAAGTGGAAGACTGTACACATGTTGATACTCCATTTAATGTATTAATACATGTTTCTGCAATTAATTATTATTTATCTAAGTAACAGAAATTGTACATTGCGTAATGAAAAATTAAAACTTGGTGGTCTGCATTTGGCCCACGGGCCATGCGATTTCAATCATTTGTCTTTATTTTAATCCTTTAAAACGTTTATTTCTTGTTTTTTAACCTTGGTACCATGTTTTCCAAGAATGCAATTTTGTTTTTTGTTTTAAGTTTTTTCCATCTGTTCAGACAAACATGTTTTTCATCAAACTCCTGATATCCCTAAAACATCACTAGTGTTAAACCTCTCTGGATACTCTATGTTTTATGACTTTTTCTCCACCACTGAAGGAAAATAATCCAGCCAATGAGACGATGTTCAAACACAGTGGAGTTGGTGACCGTCAGTTTATCACACGGAGGTCTTTTACCTTCTTGGTCGGCATCTTCAGCTTCATGAATTCAGCCTCTCGACAGAGAACATTCCAGGGAGCATGAATCTTCACGAAGCCCAGCCCTGGGATTCTGCCCTGGGAGACACACAGTATATAATGAATAGAGCAGCACAATTCATGTGTTTATAGAATAACGTAAACTTCAGTGTCATTAGAAATACGAGGAATAAACACAGCGGGGGAAGTATGTTTGATCACAGTGGAACAAGTGTATTACAAATATACTGATTTATTTTGAGAAAATCTGGACAAAATGGGAGAGACTTTTTTTTTCTTATTTCCTTTAAGCCTCTCTTGTATGTGCAGTGTAATTTGTGTTTGTCCCCCCTGTGACAGCTTTAGGAAAACAGAACTCAACACCTTTGTGTTAATGCTGGTGCTGCTGTCGACAGCAGTGGCTGCTGCAGACAGTCTTGTTTTCTATTTATATTCTGGCACCATATACATGGGCTGGATATCAAAATATCAACTAACACTTTCACGTGGATGATATCTAACCTGCAACACAGCAAATAGCTTCACACCATCTGGCATCTTCCCAAAATTGTTGGAGTCATTGAGAAGAAAACACCACCAGAAATCCCTACATGTAAATATATATAACATTAAAGTCACATTTGGACAATAACTATATCAGTAATTAACACTTATTTATTTGTAATTAAAAAAAACACAGGGAAAAAAACAACTGGCCAGGCCCTTCACTGAATTAAATAATATGGGATAACAACTTTTAAAACAAATTTTGTGTTTACAAAAGACTGGAGATTAATTAAAGTCTTCTCTTATGGTCACAAATAAAAACCATACTTTTCAAGGCCATGTAGTCAACTTGAATGGCTTCAAATTGTAGCCTCAGAGATTCTAGATTCATAGTTTTCTGCCAAAAATGTATGAAATATAACACTAGTCAGACACTTATCAGGATTTTTTTTTTAATTAACCAACCAAAATAAAATATACATATATGTGAATACACCCTGAAGGCTGATCAATAACTGAAAACATATAGTATTGCATAGAGCTGCAGCATTCAGTCCAACTGACTGTACGTTGGAGTACTGTATGGAGTACTCAGTGGAGTACTGTATGGAGTACTCAGTGGAGTACTGTGTGAAGTACTCAGTGGAGTACTGTATGGAGTACTGTGTGGAGTACTGTGTGGAGTACTGAGTGTGTGTGTGGTTGAACTTTCATTCACATCAAATGAAACGAAAATGAAGGAACATGAGCGGTCAGACAGAATTCCTGATTAGTTCATCATACTTGGACGAGCACATGAAAGATGAGTACTGTTGGATCCCTCACAGTTTACACACCCACTTCCTGTTGTTACTTTGACCCAACATTTGCACACAGTTTAGAGAGGAGAGGAAGTGAAAAGAAAACGCTACAAAAAAATGTTAATGTAAATGTTAGCTTACAAGAGGTTAGAGTTAGCCAAAACATATATGGTGTGGTGGAATATCTGTGGTGTGTATCTGCTGAGGTGATCAAGATGTCCTGATCCTGACCCCTTCACCAGCAGTGTGAACATTTATGACCCTCTTTAGAGTTAGAGTTAGAGGACGCCGTAAAATGTTCCCAGCTGAACAGTTTATTAACCCTTGCTTGACCATGTGACACTGACTGTCTGTTTTTATTGTACCCTACTGTTTACCCAGTTGGTTGAGGCCTAGGATCAGAGACGGGGTTACAGTATAAACTGGGTCAGGGCGGCTCACCTCAGAGAGTGCTGCTTTCTCTCTGAAGAGATGAAACACTCGCTAACTTTTCCCAGTCTTGTTTCTTAGACTTCCACAGACAATGAGTCAGAATCTCCACTTAATGTAACCTCAGAGCTTCATTGAATCCTTGTCCCTTCATAATTTGGCATTTTGTATTGACTTGTACTGTATATATGGCTCTTTCACACTGCAGCTACAGCCTGTAAAAAACAAGCAGAAATTAAGAAAACACCTTCTCCATGAGGTCGTGTCATCATGTGATCATATGAGTAGTGAAAAACACCTGGAGCCAAATGTAGCCTACAGTATGAAGATGGATGTGAACTCCAGTGCTGCATATGACTTCAATTATATCACAGAAAGTCTTCAAGTGAAATGAGATCCAGACTGGCAGTGATCAACTGAACCCAGATAAAAGTGACCGTCTGGAGGAATGCTGTAAGAAGTACACCAAAAGCATCAGCCATGGAGGAGGTCAAGGCGGTTTTAATTGGTCAACATCATTGCTGGCATTCTATTGGTCAGGCTGTTTGACAAGATCCGTTCACGAAATTCTAAGAAGTCAGAAATCTGAGAGCGCTTCTGTTTTTATTTCCGTGAGTGTGGGAACTCATGGAGAAGTGTTAGTGAAGCAACAGTATCTGAGGAAACCCGAGCTGTTACAGCACTCTGTCCACCGGAACTGTGTGACTTCTAGAACAGCCTTAGAGGTCACCTGGTACTGTTTGTACCGTACTTGTGAATTAGGTTTATAATCAATGATGAAACGAGTTGGACAGTTACAGAATACAACAGCTCGATTGTAAACTGAAAGGGGTGAGATTTAAACTAAAGATTTCATTTAAATCTCATCTTTTCTTTTGTAATGTTTGAATCTAAAATGTTCAGTTTAATGAAGCACTTAAAGCACAAGCACCTTTATTCAGAAATGTTTTTTTTTTGCTTTATGTTTTTATGTTTTTATCAATTTCAGCTCATTCCCCACCAAATACTGCATAATAGCTTTAAATGTATTAAAGTGATAAAAAAATATGCTAATGTGGAAGTTAACATTTGACTGAACTTGTGCTGGCAATAAATTGTGATTAATTACTTTCTAATCTATTTGTAACAATGCATTTTTAGATAGTGCACAACCAGTAATAAAGAGTTTGTTTTCCCCCTTTTTTCACTTGTACATTCACAGCAATCAACAATCAGAGTTTCTTCATCTTTTCAGTCTTCTCATACGGACACATTGTCGGCACCACGTGTGTCCTTTATATGCTTATGTTTCACTTTTCATGTTGAACATGTCAAACATCCGTGGCATGTGGATGGAAGTGTACAGATGTCAGCAGGAGGCGCCCTGGAGCAGCTCCTATTTTCATCTCTGTATATGTGTGTACGTATGTGACGTGACCTTAACGCAGGTTGGGCTGGTGCATTAATGACACTGATCCTGACCATAGCTTAACAAATTAGTCCTCAGTCCTCCATGCAGGTGTTAACACAAGTCCTCTGGCTCTAATCCCAGGTCAGATTATCTGGCTTTGGTGAGTTTGGCTCTTTTCACACCGCTACCTGCTGTTCCTGCCAGACTTCAGTGTTAAGTGTTTGTGCTCAGGTCAGGATAACGTGGAGATCTCACACGTGTGTCTGCCCCAGCAGATATTTAAACAAATATTTTACTTTCTGACGACTTGAGGTTAACAATAATGACAATAATGATGTTTGTTTTGTTGGAGCTACTTTTTACTGTTAGCTAGCTTTTAGCTAAGCCTCAAACTGTAACTCCAAAACATCAGGTTGTCTAATGTTACAGGCAAACATGTTGCAAATAACGTCACAAACTTGGCAAAGACATGAAACTGTGTGCGTAACATTTTTATGGTGACGTTGAGTCACAGCTCACATCAAATAATCTATTTGGAAATTCTTTAAATTTCAACAGAAATTGTCCAAAACACTAGGCGTTTCTTGGGACCCTAATCCAAACCCATAAACCTTCCCTGTCTTTCAGCTCATACACAGTACACGCAGTACTTTTCAGTCCGTATGCAACAGAGCCACTTGCAGTAATTTAGAGTACACATTCCAGAATGCATCATTACGTCACTACCTGAAGTTGACAGTATGGTGTGTATGTGTGTAAGTACACAGAGATGTCACACACCTTCGTCTTATTATCTACTTTAACTCTTTTATTTAACAGCAAAGAAAATGTGACTTTGTCAAAATGATTGTGTTTTATCGTTTTATCCCACATCAATTTGGACTTCACGAGTGCCTTTTAAATGCAGCATTCAACGCTCCACGGTTCTGAGCAGAAAGCAGTTCTAAATTAAGCATCCAGGGTGAGGGTGACCCTCAATTTACATCCATAAAGAGGAATTTTCCTACTCGACTGCAAAGTCATTGATGTGCTGTGTTTGTATTGTTACTGAAGCTGTGAGCAGCCCTGATCACGTTTGTTTTTCTCTGACCTGCTGGCATTCAGTTATGCTGAACCTTTACGTGTCCTGCCCAGAGACAGCTGGCCAGAGGGACCTGAAAGAGTGGGGGATTGAACCGATGACCTTCTATTTAGACAATGACCTGCTCTATCAACAGAGAGGGCCAGAGCCAAAGCTGCTCCGTACTTAGCCAAAGCCAAAATGTAGAGAAAAATAACATGCTTCACAGATTAACAATTAGATTTCCTTTTCAAAAACACATTTTAAAAAGGTTTAAAGGAGTTTTTAAAAGGTTTTTTTTTTTTTTTTAGAATTCAGATTTGGCCTAAAGAGTAGTCTCCGGCCCTTTGGTGTTCAGAGTCAGTCTGTGAGTCATGTAACATGAAACCTGCTGCAGTGTTCAGCTGTGATCTGTCCATGTGGTATATGCAGGACAGCAAGTACTGTGACCTGTGACATCCAACCACTCTCAACCTCAACTTTCTCTGCTGCTGTAATGTCCATTTTTATAAAATCACATAAATATACCATATAAATATATTTACATACATATTAGTTAAATATACATACATATATTTGCATATAAACATATGCACATATATATTTATATATAAGCATATACGTATGCAGGTTGAATGAAAAGACATAAAAAAAGCATAAGGCTGGAAAACTATAAACAATGAATAGTGCTGTCATCTGTCTTAGAACTTTTTGACTAAAGTTTGTTAACTCATTTCACCGACTAGTTGAACAGATGTGAACTCACCTCTTCGTCCTTCTCCAGCTCCAGCCCCATATCTCTGAGTTTCCCTTCAAACTCCTCCCTCCTGAAGGCCTTGTTGTCATCGTGACCGTTAAGATTCTCTCCGGCGTTGCCCAGCTCCACATCAGTCACTGCCGATGAGGGCTGAGCTTTCGCGGTCTGTGCTTGGTGATGTCTGGCCCGTCTGTCACGCCGGTGGGTGCTGCGTCGGAGGCTGCGAGCCACAGCGTTTTCCGTCAGCAAGTATGTTGAGTGTCGATAGGAGCGACCTGTACCCGGCTTCTTGATGTGGTAGGTGAGGACATAGTCCACACGCCGCTGACCGTCCTGGAAGTAAAGGCCTTGTTGGCTCTGGCTGTTCTCCTCTGGAGTCAGGGCTTTTAGCAGCTGCCAGAAAAACAAGGAAGGAAAATAATTTCAATACATTAATTATTAAAATCAATCAGACTGCAGTTTTAATAAATTTCAACAAAATTATATTAACTTTATATCTGACAATTCCACCATCCCTCCAGTCATGGTTGCTATGACTACAAAGTCGATACGCATGTAGTCATTTAGACACTGTGTGAGAATGAGAAAAATTTCACAGAAGCACCAACAGCTGAAAATGCTAACACAATACTCAACACCTAGTAGAGTCTTAATGTCAGGTCAGCACAGCAGTAAGTCTAAGTCTAAGGCTGACAAGATGACACTCTTGTCAAATATCTTTTGAGGGACTATCAAGTACATATGCCAAACGTAAGGCCCAGGGGCCAAATGGGGGCCACCACATTAATTTATGTGGCCCAGCAGAGCTGAACATGCAAATTGTTGTCCTAAAATATTTTTTAAACAGTCTTTCTTATAGTTTCTAAACGGGTAAAATCCAGAGGTGTACTTCTGTGCAGTGAGTCGTTTCCAATTCTTCTTTTTAGAATTTAAACTTTAAAAACCACAAATCGTCTTTAGTGTATATTAATGTTGTGACCCACATCACAGTGAAGCAATTCAATTGTCAACCCTGTTTGTCGCACATCTTGGACGGCATTTTGAATTCACCCCCCGTGTCTACAGAGTAGACTCATTAATATTGTTGAGGAAAACGACTTTTACTGAAGTTTTGAAAGTAACTCTCATTGTGTTCTGTATAATCTAACCTACTCTAATATATAAATATAGTATAAATATATTTGGTATAGTATTATATTGAGTATAGACCACGGTGGAATGGTGAGTTGAGAGCCATAAATTATAGAAATAAAAGCTTCCCCTAAAAACGACAGAATAACAAAATATACTTCTGTTAATGTTGAGAACTAACATTAGATCATGGAGCGACTTTAGTGAGAGAGGTATTCCTGGGGATTAAGTTGAGCGTACAGTAAATTACACTCATCGGTGACATGTTTGACTTGTTGTGTACACAGAAAGGGCTCTGATGTCCAGGCTAACCTCCAGATGCAGCCTCGGCTGGCTCACTGCGTGTGAAAACAGCTGTGTAGCCGATGTTTGGACCTAATGTCCCTGGTTTTCCTGTTTCTGAGGTCTTTGGCCAAGAGGAACTTTGACCTTTGAACTGTGAGCATATTCTAGTCCCTCAGCTGTATGAAGTGAATAAAGAGTACGTGGAGAAGAAGGACCCTCGGGTGTGACAAGCATGGGTGGCAGCTGTCACATCCACTATGACACTCTTGACTAAAATTTATGGGACATAAATAGTGTATGACTTATGATCTGTCACAGGTGTCGTGACCTCAGCTCTTTCCTGTATTTCCTGTATCGTCTACTTATAACACCTGGCTGAAGATCTAAGGGAAGGTGACCACAGATCCAACTACATTGATACGTATAGGAAACCCTGACCCGTTCAGCTCCGGAGGATCCGTTTACAAGTCACCAGTCAGGTCAGGAAAGTTGGAAACGTTCTTCTACACCACTGCATGTGGAAAGAATCACAGTAACATTATCAAGTGTGTCCATGAGGATGTGATTTGAAGCTGCTATTTTGCTAACTAATGACTTGCTAACTTCCTCTCTGTTGCTTTCTCTAGTTTTTTTTTTTTTGCACATGTCACCTAAGGTGAGAGATCAGCCCAGGATTTCTTTGTTGATGCAAATGGTTCAACTGCTTTTGAGCGAGATCACAAGTCACCTAAGGTGAGAGATCAGCTTGAAAAGCCCCAGGATTTCTTTGTTGATGTAAATGCTTCATCTGGTTTTGAGTGAAACACATCAACGCTGGGAAGTTAAAAAGTCAAAGGAGCAGAAATTCAACCGATCAAGCTCTTCAGCACGGTGTTCTCTGCAGCTGTAGTCACTCGTTTTTCAGTCACATGTCAAAAAACATCTTTAAGGCATCTTATCTGTTTAATGTTATATTAGCGACTGCAACTGTGCAGTAACACAGCATAATATGTAATACATTTCAAGATATATTTCTGTGCTGCATTTGGCAATTATTAAGATGAATTTATGGTAATAAAGTAGTTAAAAATACTAATGTTTTGCCAACACCATTTTGAATAGTACAGTGTCAAAGCAGTTTTCTGGCAGGTCACCAGAATCACTGCAATTTATTGCATGTCAGAGGAGTTAATTACTGAAAGGATAGTGTACCAGTCAAGACTTTTAGTAATGAAAACAGTGTGAATGATAAAACTGCATTTTTGACAGACTTTAAATTAATAAAAACAGCTTGTTTCACGGAGGCCGTCGTAACATGATGTACATTAGGGGTTTGGCCTCAGAAACTAACTCTGCACACAAGAGAAAAGCCTTCAGCCCACACAAAACTCAAGCAAAAACCAACAAATGAGGGGGAGGAAATGATGGAATGGGGAATAGTAGGATGAGCTGTGCAGGAGCGTTGTGGTTCCCCAAGGTGCATGGGAAACAAAGGAACAACTCTGGGTTTTTTACCCCCTAATTATTGACATCTGCTGATAGATCTGACTGCATTAAATCACAACTGAATTCCTAATTTTCAGACTTTTTTCGCTGACGCAGAGAAACATGGCTCTGTAGAAATATTCTAGGTAGGTGTTGCTGCTGAACACACCCCACGTGTATCACGTTAGGCGGTTTGAAACATCTGCTGCTGTCAGACACAGTGGTAAGGTCACGAGACACGAGTGAACACACACCTGAAGCACTGGACAACATTCCTCTGCAAATGACCGCCACTGAGATTCAGCAACTCAAATGACATCTGTGTATCTAAGTGTAACCAAAAATAGTGACTTATTTTATGCCAGGAGACATCGTCTGATGTCCAGTCAGTCAACAGGCGATGTTTGTGTCAGAGACCAGATGAAAGTACAGTAGAAAAAAAGCTTTAAAATAAGAATCAACATGGACAAACTCCAACAGAACTAAATGATCCGATGCATAATATAAAAACTCAAATTTTCAACAGTACACATCGAGTCTTGGTGTGAAGTCACAAATCTCTGAAGTCTCCTTTCGGTGCAGATGTTTCATGGATGACTTCTAGCCTTGTCCCAATTTTTTTTTTTTTGAGGACTCATTTCCTGCCCAGACCACCAGTGAAAGGACGTGCTCTTCCCTGGAGGTCCGGTCAGCAAAGGGCAGTTAACAAGCAGAATGAAGAGAACACACTAAGAAATGCATGGTTATTTTTATTTCTTGTTAAAAATATTTGTTTCTGCTGGGACTTTCTAATGGCCCTGAATATAGACAGATTTAAAAAAAAAAAAACTTGTTTACATGCATTGACTCATTGTCCTGGTCATTTTATTTGATATACTTATATATAAATATAAGTCTGTCTTTTACAATGTTGTTTGTAAAATTTTGAATTTTTCAGTGTTTCTGGGTTAAAGCAGCATTAAATCAGTTTATATAGAAATCTACAGTGCTACAGTAACAGTATCATTAAATCAGTTTATATAGAAATCTACTTGAATCCTTATCCATAATGTGCTACAGTAACAGTCAATCCCCAGTAACAGAGTACTTTATACAAACACCTGTCACAGGGACCAGAGTCAGCTGATTCAAAGGTTTTCTTTTTTTTTTTTTCAAACACTTTTCAAACATGCCGTGTTGAGGAACTCACCCCGAACTTGCCGTGGAAGATAACATCTCGTAGAAAATGTGGAGCTGGTTTCTCACTCTCGGGTTTTGGAGGCAGTTCACTCTCCACCTCTGCGTCCTCTGTCATGGTCTAAATCTCTGCACTTTGAGATTTAGAGATGAACGGATGTGCTGAAGGATGGGTTACCAGCCGTTTAGTCCACTTTGTGGTCTTCCTGTGTCTTGGTCTGTGTCCTCTGCGTGAAATGTCTTATTATATGACAGTGTTTGATGCGGAGAGGCCCCTCCTCTGCCTCTGGACTTATTTTCTTCTAACTTGCCACTCTTCTGTGACTCCACTCTCCTGCCTTTAAAGCTGTGTGAGGAGCTGTGTTACTGTCTCAGTGTGGAGTGGCTGAAGCCAGCCTGCAGCCCTTGTTACTCGAGAAGCCGTCGGCGAGCCAAGATCTAAACTTAGGCGACGATAAAACTCTGATGAACCTCCCTCACTCTCTGTCTCTGCTCAGCTGAAATCAGCGTAAGATCGACCACCCTAAAGCCCACCTCGCTCTTTACCACTGCAGCCACTAATCACTGCTGCACTACAAGGCACACATGCCCCAACGACAGGGGTGGGTAAACAGAAGACTGTTTTATGAGTCTGACATGAGATAAAGATGCAGACTCAGCCACCCGACTCCGAGGACCCCTCAAAGACCTTCAAGGAGATGGTAATAATGATGATGCCAACCTGGACATAATGTAGCAACACACATTCAGTACATCATTACCGCGTTTGCACATTAACTGCTGTAGTGCAGCTGCCTTTTCTGCTTTGTAAATTCTCACCCATTTGTTTATATAATTTCATATATATATATAAACAATTTACTATATATATTTACAATGGATGTATTTACAATCACATTCAAATTTTCAAATTAGAATGATTGATTAAGCATGTTTTTGGACTGTCAGGATACCTTGTTGTCTCTTCCACATTTTAAATTAAATTGTAGTATTTGCTATGAAGAAAATCAAATCAATGTAGGCAGAGCATCACTACATTTGAAAGTGTTTGGTGAAAAACCCCTGACATGCCATGTGGCATACCCCAGGGTTCAATGCGTGAAAAACCCCTGATATGCCATGTGGCATACCTCAGGGTTCAATGTTAGGATCTGTTCTGTTGCTATTTTTACTGTTGTTCTAGGACTGGTCATTATCAAGTTTATTATTATTTATGATGTCACCCGAATGATGATTTAATATTTATTTTTATGCTGATGATATCCATCTCTTAATGGCCCTTCTTATTCTTTTAATCTATTCCCAGTAACAATCGGCTTAACCAGCATCAAACAGTGGTTTGTGGGTAAAAAACTTGGTAATTCAATTTGTAGGTTTTACTAGTTGAATAAAATATTATTTTAATGATTAAAGTACAGTCTTCAATCTTTTAATGAGTTTCAACATCATAATGTACTGTATATATTCATGTCATCTGCCCTCCAGTGGCAACTTGTTACGTACTAAAAAATTAAACACATGGAAAACTTTCACCCAGGTATTTTCATTTATAAGACAGGCAGAATTCATAATTTACTTTTGTATTTTCCGTGATTTCGAAACTCGAGTAATTGCCACCATTACTCCACGTACTAGCTTTTAAAATGGAACCTGTGCAGTTTTCCTTCAAGCCTAATAAAAACAAGTTTAAAGTTAAATTCTGGGTAATTCTCTTTTGTGAAGTCGTTCCAGGAAACTGCCCTTACTTCTTAAATTGTTTACTTTGTGAGAGCTAAGATCCAGAAAGTTTCTGTACAACCTCTCATTCCTGACACTTCAGTCTTATGTAACGTGGCAGCAACATCCGCACTCCAGTGTATTTTTAGCTTTTAAGAGTTGAAAAATACACAGAGTATCGGGCAAAAGGGAAGCACGGACCCCGTAGAGCACATAATCCCAGGGGACATCATGTGTCTGACACGATGCTGGGAGCAAGATGTACAGGTCAGAGGGCAATTCTCACAGGAAACAGGAGGAAGTGTTGTTTGTGTTCACATGCCGTGACTCAGCTTTACAATGTAAGACTTTAAACCCTAAAAACATCCGTCAAATACATTTTTGTCCAGTCATGATACTTTTCAATCATCCTCAGTTTATCAGAGGAAATGAAGAGCTTAACAGCCCGAGCAGATAAATGGGCTGTACAAACAGGATTACACAGAAAAATAAACAATAAATTTGCACAAAAATAATCTTTTATTGGTCGTTTACTACAGGTCACCTGAGGTGAGTTTTTGTGTATTTAGCTGCAGGGAAGTTGTTCCCCAAAACTAATTTTTCTTCTCCTCATTCTTTTGTAAATAATAATAAATATTATTTAGAAGCACTTTCCTGGCACTCACCATGGTCCTGGAAATTTGTATCCAGAAGAAAACTCACCCGTTGGTTGGCAGTAAAATCCTGGACATATTGTGATTCAAAACAATGACAATATGTATGTCAAATATGTCAAACAAGTTAAGTAAAAATATGTTCACTTCAGACATAGTGATAGTAGTAAAGTGTATTCTACAACTTAACATTTCAGGATCAGTAGAAAAAAATACCTAAATATTAATAGCATTAAAAAACAAACTTTAACTGTGCACCCAAGTACAGATAATTTTTTATGTGACACTAACTCAATCTAAGTTAAATCTCAATCTTTTTTATGTGACACTAACTCAATCTAATCTAAGTACACAATATACAGTATTACATAGAAAGACAATATTGTAAAATCGAATCCAAGATCACGTTAACCTTCTGTATTTTATTGTTGCTTTTTTGTGAGGATGTAGTTTTGAGTAAATCTCTGCTTAATCTGAGAAGTGACTCTAATGAGCTTCAGATTAAGTGACTATATAAATTAATTCATGGTAGATGATCATATTTTCCTTATAAATTAATTTTGACAAACATTTAAACAGTGACACAAAATATCCTGAAATGTAAATGTCAATAAAGATCAGCAACATAATCAAGATAATCGCCGGTGATAATTGTCATATTTACCATATATTAGATTTTGACGCTTTTTTTTTTATTATTTACCATATATTAGATTTTGACGCTTTTATTTTTGGCTCAATACCATCTATTGCAATTCGTAAAAATGTCCTATAGATGGCAGTGCACTCCCACACGTCTCTGACAGCATACAACAACAGAATGTATTTTCTTACCTGTACGTTTGCAGAGACTGACATCACATCATTCAGTGATTCAGAGTTCGTGTCTAAGTCGTCGCTGTTTGATCACGTGTTCGTTAACTGTCATAAACGGCTACAGCTGCTAATGCTGCTGAATGGGGAACTGTTTAAATAAACAACAGTCGCCTGCCTCATAAATTAGGCAAAAACACCAAAGAAACTCATTATTTTTGCTGTTCGTTATTATATATCTTTGTCAAATAACTACATTGTAATTTAAAATGATGGATCACACGAAACATAATTGGGCAAAAGGGAGCTAGTAATGAGAAGTTTTAGTTTGGAGAGGATGTCACTGCCTTAATGTCTTCGTAATTAGGGTTCAGGGTAGGCGTGATAAAGCATAATATAAATATATATCATAATGCCCGGGTGGTCGTGATAGTTGTGATTTAAAGGAGCTACTAAGGGAACTAACCACAGCTAATAATACATTTAATATTTAAGCAGAAAACGTGAAGTGTTGCTGAAAAAGTGTCTGTGGAGTCCAAGCTGTGGACACAGTCTTTTATTCACAATGTTAAAAGGGGAAGAAAAGTCTTCTTACCTTAAAATGTCGAACTTGGTAAATTTGAATTACGTGAATGAAAGAGAAGACGTTTTGATACATTCACTGCTGAAGGCTGTGGTGAGGAATGAAAGAGAAGACGTTTTGATACATGTTTCACTGCTGAAGGCTGTGGTGAAAACGTAAAGAGACGCAGGTGAAACCAGGTTAAATAACGAAAGGCGTCCGGTGATTGGAATCTGCTGGACAACAAGTAAGGCGTGGCGGGAGGGAGAGACTAACTTTGTTGTTTGTTCAGATTTAGGAATTGGTGAAAATTCCGATGTACAACCAAATAATTTGTACGGAAACTATTGTATTGCCGTGGAGAGCGGACGAATACGTCATCAAGTGGCGCTGTACATCGGATGTATTGGCTTTCTTTCGTTTGTGTTATTGGGAACTTTTTTGCCCTTCATTCTGGCTCCCAGGCGTAGGTGTGACTCTGTTGATGGTTTTTATCCTAGGTTAAGATGTCACCACTGTGTTAGTGTAAGTGAGTGACAGGTACTAATGTACAGTATGTGAGTCCTATGTAGTATGACATACAGGAAGCCCTGTACTTCATACTGCAGTGCATTTAAATTCACATTTCAGATTTGACACCTAACGGCAGGCTGTCACTTTTATCTTCACACCACCTTCACTCTTAGTGCTGAACAGAACTGAACACCACCTTCACTCTTAGTGCTGAACATCATCATTAACACCATCCAGTTTGGTGGACGTGTAGAGGGCGGAGCAGGAACCTGTTCTCATACTAAAAACAAGACTGGTTCAATACAGACTTCCTCAGACTGTTGTCTGACACAGAAAGGTCAAAGTTGACATCATCATAAACACTGTTCCTTGTGTTTGTGGCAGATGGACACACGCGGGACAATAAAGTGAACACTTAAGTGGTAAATGATTAATGGTCAATTTACTGAATATATCAGGAGGGAGCTCAGCCGTGAAATGCAAAATAAATTGATCTATTTATAGAGTGTCAGGGGGAAGTGGTGCGCAACAGTGTAGTCGGAGGGTTCCGTGCTCATACAGCTTTTTTAGACACATGACAGGAGAGACAAGACGACCCACCCACGCACACACGGACATGATGGGTGCACACATTTGCATGTGAAGCCACTGTTTGTGGGCACATTAAATTTTAAGAGACACGGAGCAGAAAGAGCAATAAATAATTTCCACACTGAGGAAAGTGGAAAGCCTGAGCCCGGCCTCTACGTCTGGTGGGATTATTTGGGAGTGAAAAGAAAGGAAAATGACACATTAAAACCTCTTTTTATTAACTCTGAGAGGAGGAAGGAGACAGAGAGGCAGAGTTTGGCAGCGAGATACGGCAGCTGAGAGCAGCCAGCGGGCTACGAGACAAGCAGCAGGTATTAAGGAGAATAAATTGGCCTCAGACTGGAGTCAAAAACCCCAAGTAATAAAATGTGACTTTTTCTTTGAAAAATGTAAGATCAAAATGAGTTGCTTCTCAAGCACTGAGAAAAAAGATGTGATCTGTTTGGTTCTCTTTCAACAGGATAAATATTATATTTATACTTCAAATAAGGTATATTTAATTACAGTAATAAACAGGAGGAGAACACAAAGTAAGCGAAACAACTACAACCAGGAGTTGAACCAGAGATCTTGCTGTGAGCCTTTACTCACTGGCACAATCAAAGAAAATATTTTTTTAATTTTTAATAAAAGACAAATCTCACAACAGACACTTTGACTTCGGTTGTTACGCTGATCTGGGAACTGATTTTTCCAGTGATTCTCCCAGGAACCTTTTATTTTCTGTAAATTGCTGGAGCAGAAATTAAAATAACCTCAGGTAGATGTCAGTGTTTCACCCCAGTTTTTGTTGTGATTAATTGTTATAACTTTCTGAACTTCTGTGACGTCCTTGTCCTTCAGCCAGTTTACAGTCCCTCGCAATCCTTCTTTCTTGCATACAGGATGCACGTCTCCTAAGGGGGACTTGCCCCCCAATTTGAGAACCACTAACTATCCTCTCTGATGGTCTGAGGATTAAAGATTCTCTAATTCTCAG